GGTTTTCAGTAAAACTAGTACGTCAATTTGGTTCAGGTACAGAGAACATATTCACATGCAGATGCAGAGGACCATTTATAGAAACTGGAACAAATAGCACACCCGCAAGAGACATATGTACACGGTGAAGACTAGAAACGTAGTGATTCAGCCAGACATGTAAAAATAGATGTCCAGTGGAACATACAAGTTCTTATGTATAGAACTAGATGAAACTGATGCGCTATTATTGCCCGGATCAAGTGATGGTTTCTTTAAACTGTCTACACTTCTGCTGGATGGTTGGATGCTACGATTCAACTCTTGATAGTCACTGGAAGATTTCTCTTTACTGGACTCCAGTTTCATTGCTTGGCTGATTGCTTCGCCTTGTTTAGGCAGGCAAATTTATCCCACGACAAGACTGATTATGCAATGTCCATGTGCCCATAGGGGATAACTCTCTCTTCAGACATTCCTACATAAATGGAAGGAGTAAGAACTCAGATGATGAAGAACAGGTAGCAGCGAATAGCATGGTAAAATGTAAAAGTTGAGGGGAAAAGAAGCAACACAATAATATACCAACAGTTAGATGCCGAGTTGCTGACTGCGCTACAAATTGTTTTTTGCAGAGAAGAAAGTCCAGAGTGATGATATATTAGTTGTTTTCAACAGACATTTTATTTTATCATACAAAGTTAATACTCCCTCCGTAAACAAATATAAGAGCGTTTAGATCACTAAAGTAGTAATCTAAATGCTCTTATATTTCTTTACAGAGGGAGTACACCGCAAGGAATATATGCGAGACCTGAATAGTAGAAGACAATTCCTATATATATAGTATATGAAAGACAATTCCTATAACTATTTTGTTTACTAACATTTGCCTGTAACAGTAAGAGTGAAGCATGTCTAGAGATAAATTAGAGCCATACCGACATGAGTGCAGATCATTCTGATACCCCCTTTTCGAAAAAATAACATTCTGATGCAGATCATTGCAGATCACTGAAAGTTAGTTGGGGGGGAGATGAGTGTCAAACAATTATTAATAAGCAACAACCAGAAGAAGAACATCGATATCTAGCTATGTGCCACTTGACTAGTAACAATCAATGCTTGTCTATATTCTCCTTTTATTATGTCTGTTTAGCTCGATGCCACTTGTTACCTGTTGATGGCATACAAAATATTTCTGTTATTCTTTTCATCTACAGTTTGTCTGAGAGAATGTAATGTACAGTTCATTGCCTATGATGGTTTAACAGAATTACAATTCGTAGCAGAGTTTCAGCATTAATTCATGGGACAACATATTACCATGTAAAACGTCTAATGCTTCATTTCCAGGGAAGAAACTGGATTAATCGCCAAATCAATAGGCAGTAGAATATCAACATTCAGCAGCAATACGACAGTAGCACTAGCACATCAAGCAGCACAACCGTGGCTAGCAGCACACCACAGCATAACAGCAGCCAGCACACCACAACCACACAAGCAGCAAGCACCACAACACTACATCCCCAACAACACTGAAGCCCTCAATGGACCCCCAATTTCACTAAGAGACCAGCTGAACCCTTTTTGTTCAGATAAGTGACCGAAATTATGCCCCTTTTGTTCAGACGCCCCATAGAGGAATTCATTTCGTCTTTCAAAGTTGAAACCAAGCAGTATTGCTTCTAGTCTGGGGACTAAATAGAACATGATGTTACAGTACAATATTTCACAAGGAAACATTTACAAAGTGCTACATGTATTCCATTTGTAACAAAAGAATTAATAGGAAACCAGAGACGTGTTTACTGGACAAGCACATATATGTCCTATATGCCAATGGGAAGTAAATAGTGAGGGCATCCAACATTGCTTGCTATCTCACATACATACTTACAGACAGTGGCGAATCTACGGTGTAAGTGTAGGGTAGGCTCAACTGTAATTATGCCATTAAGATGGGCTGGGAAACTGCAGTTTTGCTGTGCTGGGTCCTAATCTTTGGTACTTCCTCTGTTCACTTTTATAAGACGTTTTAGACAATTCAGACAGTGCCCAAAACAGTTCAAAGCTATCTGTCCAAAACGTCTTATAATAATGAACGGAGGGAGTAATAAAAAGGAAATTACTCTTGTTGGAGGGCAGGCTTAAGCCTGTTAAAGCATGCCTAGTAGATTCGCCCCTGCTTACAGAGGTTCTTGAGAGAGTAAATAGTAGCATCAAGTCGATGTAATGCAGGCATATGACTATGGACATCTTTGGGTGGCCTTTTTTGCCCAACCATCCACCATACTTACAATTTACAAAGATTAATTTTCCCTGCAAAGAATAAATTTCAAATTCAATCTGTTAAAAAACTTAGAAAAATAGAATGCAAACAATAATAGTGATAGAATGTTAGGGTTTGAACTTTACTACTTGAAGGACTAGTTTTGGAATTAATCACGTCTTGCATGTACGTAGCCGGGTAGGACTAGTTTTAGTGGCCGAGTCGGTTTGTTGCTGCTACTTGCCTAGCTGTTATATACTACTCCATCCGTTCGGAATTACTTGTCGCAGAAATGGATGTATCTAGACGTATTTTAGTTATAGATATATCCATTTCCAAGACAAGTAATTTCGAACGGAGGGAGTATATGTGTACGAAAAAATGTTGCTTGATTTCAAAAAGTGGATGCATGTTTTTTCCTAAAAATGTGAGCAATGCGTAAAACTATTTTTAATGTATAAAAATGTTTCATGCCATGTATTTGAAAATATGTTACCATGTATTCATAATAGTGTATGAAATTTAACAAAATGTACTGAGTTGAGAAAATAAATACGTACTGTACTGTACAAAGTAAACATCAATCGATCAGAGTGTTTGGCGTGCGTTGCTAGTTGACTACGTGCGTTGGTGTCCCGGCTGCATGTACCATGTACTAGCTAGTTCAAACGGGATACTAGTACACACATCCAGGAAAGATCGATTAGGAAGCAGGGCTAGCTTTGTACTCCCTCCGTCTGAAAATATTTGTCGGAGAAATGGTTGGTGCAGCTCAGCGTAAAGCACTTCGTCGAGTTTGTTAGCGAGCTTCGGTCGTCATCGTCCCAACTATTCGTTGGTATATATTTTAGCATTCCCGACCGATAATCTGTCGTTATGTATCAGTTTTCCCTACCCACGGTTTGTTAAAAGTTTTTTTGGTCAACAGTCGGTTGACAATGCTGACTTTTGCCAACACACATCAGTAGGAAATTCTGGTGCGTGATGTAGTGTAACATGTGGGCTGGTAAGACACGACCCAACTAATAATCGTGCCACGGCCCCCGATTAAGGTGGATCAGGCCGTGTCGTGCCGAGCTGGCTCGCTTGGCCAACATATCATTTTTTTGTGCCCATTTTACTTTGTAGATGTTGTGGCAAATTTTTTTTTTGAAACCATGGAAATTTTACCAATTTGACATTGGTATTTTTTTTCTTAAATACACCATGTAAATTTTGATAATTACTTTATGGAAATTTTATTGTGGGAAGGATGGCAAATTCAGTCATTTTTCTTTAATATCAGCACGGAAATTTTGTAATTACATCGTAGTCGCATGGCAAGTTTTAATATTTTCTGTCACGTCCATTTTTATTCTAGGAAAGGATGGCAATTCAATTATTTCTGTACTCTAGAGCATGGCAATTTTGTAATTGCATCGTAGTCACATGGAAAATGCAAAATATACAAAATTCTCT